CGAACTTAGAAACAACAATAAATAACTTAAATCAACAAATTATTAACAATAATAAAAACTTCGGCAAATCCAACAACAATCAATATACAAATCGTCCCGAAATTAACCGTCAATATACGAACCGATTACATCAGGGTCAGGTCAACAGCAATAAAAATAATTATATCCAAAATTCAAATTACGAAAAACGAGACAACCGTCCCAATTATAATAATTCCAATAGATACAACAGCAATCAGGGCAATGATCCACAAGCACGCAACAGCTATCACAACAGAAAACCCAACTTCACTAATTCTGACAAAAGAATTCAATGCGAACATTGTAACTATTATAACCACAACAGCTCAGAATGTAAATGGAAACTGATCTGTACAATATGCGGCAAAAGGTATCATACAGCCGAAACATGTTACTCAAAAAACGTAGACTCCAAATCAAAAAACGAATAAAATGGTCAAATGCACAATCTGGAACACCGCATTACCCTTATGTCCCAGATAATGAAACAAAACAAATCAATAAACCGACAAACCACAACCCACATAAAAAAGATCAAATAAACACCATATTAAATAAAGATAGGAAAGCCAATGCATTATACATAATAGCCGAATTAGATAATGAAGACATTGAAGTAACTATAGATTCCGGGGCGAACATTAATTGCATTCGTCCAGACTTAATAAATACAAAATTAATATGTCCTTCCAATAGATACCAACTATCAGTCCAGAATATAAACACCACTTCAACTGATCGGCACCGCCAACATAGATTTAAAAATTGAAAATAAAATATTCCCGATAAATGTATGCGTAATAAAAGATCTAAGCAGCACTATAATCCTCGGGAATGAATTTTTGACCGTCAATAAAGCCAAAATCGACTACACAAAAAAACTTATAACGCTAATAAACCGTTAAAACTAGAATATTAAATAACAACTTCAAACATACCGAAAACCATGTTGATAATATAGAACACAAAAATATTAAACGTAAAAAATCGCGCAATATAATCGAAGACGATATAGACATACTAAATGTCACACCCAAATACTCTATAGCACAAACTATTTCAGCCGACCTCCAACATAATACACATTTATCAAACAGAAAACACAAAATACGGTAACATGTCCTATATACTCGACAACCTAGAACTAATACCGGGTGAAATAACAACAATCGACACAGACGAAAGAACCATACATTACCTAATATCCAAAGATAAACACGATATAAAAACATCCTACATAGACATTTTTGACAATTTATACAATCTAAAAAATTGTGCATTAACTGAAGGATATGAATACATAGCAAATATGCAATGGGACAACATAACTAACAATGAGCTTCAATGGGACATAATATACGATATGATATTTGAAGTATTTAATGATACGGGAGTACACTTGCTCATATGTAACACGCCCGTCACACATAAAAATCAAAAATCAAAAATCATATCTAATATAAAAAACACATACAACACCATTACAAAAACCAACAATGACACAGAAAGTGAACACCCACAGTATAGCGAAATCTTTTCTAAATACCATATAGGGGAAAACGTACATCTGACGGAATTGCGGATTATACGCATTAACAAACGCTTATCAATGACCATAAACCAAAAAAATAGTTACATTGGCCCATATAATGAATCTATTACAATTATCTGAATTACCTAATTATTGGTGGCATGATGACCAATTAAGTAGCATTGCAAATCACTTTGGTTTTGACACATATATTTATTCTGACTCAACCAAAAATGGATATGTATATGGCTCAGGATTTAGACCCCCCATAGTATTATATAATCTAAACAATGGAAACACATTGGGGTCCAGGGTACACTAATAAAAAATAAATCTAAATCAAATAAAATACCACAGAAATAATTTTACACAAAAAATTACATTTCAATAGAACACATAATAAAAAGATTTAATTTAGAAACACAAATAAACAATAAAACAAATCACAACAAAGAAATTATAAACACAATTATCAGCGATAACAGAGAAACAATATATGATAATGAGGGAACCCAAATTAACATATCTAAAGACCTTAACATTAGAAACAACATAATCAAGTAGTACAACTATTTAAAACAATTTATACATATATTCTCTACTGATACAGCACACATAAAACCTGCAAAGGTACAACCATGTCAAATCAAACTAAAACCAAACACAAAAGAACCAAAATTCAACCCACCACATAGAGTCTCCCCATCCCAAAGACAAGAACTAAAAACACAATTAGATAAATTAATAACTGCAGACATAGTAAAGCATACTAAATCCAATTTTGCATCTCCTGCATTCCTGGTACGCAAAAAAGAGAAAAACAATTATAGACTCGTTGTATCTTACAAAGAACTCAATAATATAGTAGAATCTGACCAATATCCATTACCTAGAACAACAGACTTATTCCGGAGCTTAGAAAGCTCAAAGTTCTTCACGACAATTGATCTTAACTCAGGATTCTTTCAAATTCCGGTTAGAGAACAAGATCAATATATGTTAGCATTTACTACGGTTCATGGTCTAATGACTTTCACAAGACTACCACAAGGCTTCAAAAATTCAAGTGCAATTTTCCAAAGAGAACTTAACAAAGCTTTTTCAGAATATTTATATAAATCAGTAATCATATTCATAGACGACCTAGCAACTTTCGGATCTGACTTCGAATCTGCATTATACAATTTAAAGAAGGTTTTTGAAATAATAAGTCAATATGGCTTTTCACTAAAAACAGCAAAATGTAATATATTTGCAAATAAAATTGAACTTTTAGGTCACCAAATATCTAGCCAAGGCATTAAACCATTAGCTAAGAACACTATAGCTATAACCAATTTTGAACAACCCAAAACAGCCAAACAAGTTCGCAGCTTTCTAGGATTATGCAGCTACTATAGGCGACTAGTAAAAGATTTCTCACACATAGCTCACCCATTATTTCAATTAACTAAACATGAAAATAATAAATCCATAACATGGACAGATGATCACGAAAATGCATTTAAAAAACTAAAATGATTTTAAACATCTGAACCGGTAATTGCACACTTTTCCGATGACAAAGAGACCTATTTAACTGTCGACGCTAGTATAACTGGTCTTGGCGCTGTTCTCGAACAACCAGACGACACAAATAAACTAAGACCAGTAGGATATGCTTCAAGAAAAGTTCTAGAATCAGAAAAAACATACTCATCCACAACTTTAGAGCTTTTAGGACTAGTATTTGGTATAACATATTTTAGAGAATTTCTATGGGGAAGAAAATTTACAGTATTCTCCGACAACATCAGTTTACAATATTATAAGAATTTAAAAATACCATCTGCCAGAATAGCTAGACTAACACTAAAAATATTAGATTTCGATTTCATAATAAAACACAAAGCAGGGAAGAAAATAACGTCGCAGATTGTCTATCAAGAGAACACATTTGAACATTATAGACGCTGTAATTTTAAACACGAATCCCAACTTCATAAACAAGAACACATCATATATAATATAAACGCTAAAAAACCCACAGAAATTAATATAATACAAAGTCAAAATGATGACGAATTTTGTAAAGAAATAATAAAAGCGATAAACAACATACCTACGTCAAATAAATACAAAAGAATATCCAGAAGATATACAATAACAAATCAAATACTATACCTTAAAAGACACATACCTAAACAAAATATAGAAAACGCCATTGTAATACCAAAAAACTTAATTCAAAATATTATAACAGCTCATCATAACCCCCCTCTAGCAGGTCACATGGGTATAACAAAAACAATAAAAGCAATTCAAATAAAATATTATTGGCCAACATTAATAAAAGACGTAACAACTTTCATCAAATCATGTCATGAATGCCAAATAAATAAAAAATCACAAGGTAAACCTGCAGGATGCCTACAACCAATACCATTACCTAAATGTAAACCATTAGACAGAATTACTATTGACTTCTTAGGACCATTACCTAGCAGCAACAACAAAAAATACATACTAGTCTTTACATGCCAAAGCACCAAATACGTCATAGCCAAAGCAACAAAGTGCTCTGACGCTAACACTGTAGCCAAATTTCTTATTCAATATATCACACAATATGGTGTACCACGATACCTTACTTCTGACAGAGGTTTACACTTTAAAAATAAAATAATGAACGAAACCTGTCAAAGCTTTGGAATCAAACAAATATTTTCATCCAGCTATGCACCTCAATCACAAGGCTTCACTGAAAGAATCAATGGAGTAATATGTCAAGCAATAAGACATTATATAAAAGACAACAACCAATCAAGATGGTCATTTTATTTACCATACATAATATTTAGCTACAACAACTCACCACAAATATCGACAAATCACAGCCCATACTACCTATTACACGGTTTCAACGCAAACATAGGCATAGACATACAAATAATACCAGAAAACTTATCTTACGACATAAAAAAATCACTTGAGGAACTAAAACTAGCAAGGGAAAGCATCCCCAATTACATAAAAAAAGCTCAAGAAATACAAAAAATAAATCATGACAAAATACATAAGCTTACCACATATGAACCAAATCAATTAGTCTTGGTTAAATTTCCATTTCAAGAACAAAACAAAACACAAAAACTAGCTCCCAAATACAGAGGCCCATACAAAGTAATTTCAAAAAAGAATGATGTAAATTACATTATAGAACTTACATTAAATAATAAACTAACACAAGATATCATTCATATTAGACGTTTGAAACCATACTTCAAAAGGGACAACACCATTTCATGTGAGGACACGGAATCCACAGAAAATGGTAACGAATAACAATATATATCACACTACTAATATGTATAAGTACAAATATATTTTATACATAACAATCATAAACATAACATATATAATACAACAAACCAAAGGTTTCATAGCGTACGACTGCTCAGGCAGTAAAATGAACATAACATCATTTAACACATTAAATGTAGATTATTGTTCACCCCCCATACCAAACAAAATAGATAAAATACCATTAATCAAATTACTACAAACAACAGAATCAAAACAAATACAATATCAAGCATGCTACATAGTAGCTGACTTCTTAATCACAAAATGCGCTAGCCTTGACGATGCACAAATCGTAAGAAATGGGTACTTTACAGAACTTATACAAATAGGTGCAGCACAATGCGCAGATGCACACTTGCAACGTTCATACACATTTTTTCAAGGCATAACAGCGAACAAAATAAAAATAAACCAAACCATGTACTTTTCGGATGTAATCAAGGGCCAAGTCAACCGAGATGGAGACTGCACTGGAGAAACATTCAGAACAGACAAGTATGAATGGGACAACGTACTAGTACAAGCAAAATATAAAATACTATTATCAGAAGGTATGGCAACTGCAAATAGCAGAGATAACGTCATAATACTTCCAACCGGAACTCGTCTAAAACTATCGGACGGATACGGAATCGACTCACATAAAGGAGAAATAATATGGAAACATAACCAACAAGAAAATTGTAACACTAATGATTACGACACTCTATATGAAGGGCCAGCTACACTAATAACATCCATACAATCATATAACTCAACTACTGAAATTCAAACAATTTTAGTAGAATCGGACAAAATTGCATTCGCTCTACGCAAAATGGGTATGGACTACGCATGCCACATACCAGTTTTTCGAACTGAACATCCAAGATTATTTATATTAACCGACCAAGCAAACATACATTTTTTCCACACAAAACCAATCTCGACATATAATACAGATTTGATGGCATACATAAATACTAAGTTTGTTTACATACAAACATTTACAAGCTTCCATCACTTCAATGTATTTCGATTTAGTTACAAAACAATGTAACTTAGAAAGAAGTATACTCTTGCAAAAACTTTCGTTAGCCTCTTACAGTCTACCAGAATTTGCATACGCAATGGGAGAAGGTCCGGGCTACACTGCATTAAAATCAGGAGAAATAGTATACCTTATCAAATGCAAACCTGTAGAAGTTGAACTAGATAGAAGCCACAAAGCTTGTTTTCAGGAACTCCCAATAATACACAACAAACAAAAATTATTCATGGCACCAAAAACGCACACCTTACAAAAATATGGTACTGAAATCGACTGCACATTCATACTACCAGCCGGATATTTCATGGAAGATGAATGGATAAGCATGTCACCTCAATACAATGAACTAGGTTCAGGCAAAACACCTCAATTATTAAAACCACAAACAACTTGGACATGGGCATATAAAAGTCCACAACACCTAATGAACGCAGGCTTATACTCAAGCGACATGATTAACGCTTTACAAAAACACCTATTATTTCCTCAAGAAGTTTTTGCAGCTCAAAGCAACCTAGCAAGAGAAACAATGGGCTACAACACTCTTGATCAAGGACTAAAAATAAGACCTTATATCGATGAACAACTCATAAGCAAATTGGTCGAAGAAAAACTAAACAAAATGTGGGGCTGGTTTGTAGGTTTTGGTAATTTTATATCTGGATTATTAGGTGTATTTGTTATATGGAAAATCTTTATGATATGTCTAAACACAACAATCAACATGTCAATCTTATATCAAACTTTGGATTTAGCTTTTAAAGTACTGGCAGGTTTATTTGCAAGCATGACACATTATTTTATGCATAAATCACATACTAAAGCTAAACAAAATACACAAAATAATGAAAATGAAAATCCAGAGACATACTTATTAGACAATATTACAGAACAACCTATATCACAACCTACACCACAACCTAGACAAATCTATCCATCACTAAATATAAAAAACACACAACACCAAGATCTTAGAAGATCATTATAAATACATAAAGCCTGAATAAACTAAACATAATCATAATATAATACATAATAATATAACTAAATCATATAAAAAAAAATATATATAAAATATATCAGAGTCATTAAAATAATTCTTGTACATAAGCACTAACACCATTAAATTTACACTAAATCATAAATGTCATAATTCAGATGGAATATCGTTCAGACCTAATGAAATCAATACAAACAGATCGATATCCAACATCACGAGTCGACAGCAGAACGTACGACACAACAACATTTTGGGGCACAACACAAAACTCAATATTAATCAATTATAAACACACACAAATAAACAACATTGTATTAAATTTGAGCGAAACGAATATAACAAGCAAATTTTCCAATCACAATAATTTTAAAATAAGACAGAATAATAAACATATGATAACAATACATCTCCACAAAGAAATAATAAATAGAACCCACAATATAGAAAATAATAAAATAAAACATGCAATTTATACTGATAATCTAAACAATACTTATATAATATGTTTAAATGAAAACACTTCAGATTATAATTATATAACCAAAATATTACATAATTTAGAAAAAACCACCAAATCACTTAAATTACAAAGAAAGCTTATTACGAGCAATATTTCTATCAGAAATATTCATCTGTCTATCATCACAATTATGGCATTTACCAAATTTAAAACCTTCCCACCTATTAGAAAAAATAATTGACATAACTGCACTATCGGCATATTTTATAATGAAGGCAGGACTTCTATGTGACCCAATATTTCTAACCATGACAGGACACCTAGGGAAAGATAAAAGAAAATTTTATAGAATACCTGAATCATCAAGAATGTTCAATTTAGAAAACCAAAACTTATACTATGATACATATTTCAATAAAAATAATTCCAAACAAAATTTCATTTCAAAAAACTACTCAGATAAATTTCATAAAAAAATAACCCTATATTTCAATGACTCATGCATAATAGACCCACAAATCCAAAAAATTGAATGGACAAAAAACATTTATCGAGATCATTATTCACTAACACAAAACATACATTGGTCGCTCTATGCTATCATACACATTTTACAACTATGCATTCTTTATTATAAAGGCACCAGAATTAGTTCAATTTCAAAACGCAGTAATACCAAATGAAATGGGTAGAATTTATATCACACATTATAACATTACACCACAAACACTCACATCAAATATACTTATACACACAGCTAGCATCACAAAAAAACACAGCTCACAAATCAAAATCAAAAGAATTAAAAAATATATGTAAAAAACTATTATATTTTAAAATTACAGGACTGACAAGATAAAAACAATACAAAATGAATTGCGTTATCATAGATTTTGAATTTAACTTTAATCGAAGAACAACACTAGTACTATATCCGGGGCAATAGCTAACAGCCACACCGAGTCAAAAACTATTAAATTAAAAGGGCAACCACTACTACTAAGAAAACATCAAAAATCTACAGAAATAACTAAATTACCCAGAGACCAAATAAATATAATAATAAAAACAATAATAAAAATCTTCAAAAATAAACCGGAAAAACAAGAACCAATATTGAATGAATTAAATGAGAGCTTCCTAAAAAAGAATGGCAACCTCAATCCACAATACATAATTAAATATGCTAACTACAATAACAAGAAACCAATTATCGTAACGTGGAATGGGGATACTGACATGGAAATACTAAAAAGGATGGGTATAGACATGCCAGTATTCAACATGACATGTTACGACACTCACAATAATGGGGAATTCTTTTTACAACTAATAAACACTACAAACAATAAAATAGTCATTAAATCAAAGTTAGGATACATAAACAAAAAAGGTAGGCTCACAAACCTAGAGGAAACGCACAAAATAATATGTAAATTATCGCATAATGACACATACATACATGACCCGGTAACAGATGTAAATCTGACCAAATGCATATTTAATCACCTAATGACCAACACAAATACATCCTTAGAATCTCTAATAAATAATCAAAATCAGTAGCTCACTCACAAAAAAAAACAATTTCACACCAATAATAACAGCAAATAACCAGTTGCATAATAATAAATAAAAATTCTTCTTATTTTTAGCTAACACCAATAAAATGTTGTTCAAACAAAAATCAGACTCTTCAGCACAAAAATATGTCACATACTGCACAGAACTCAACCTAAGCACTGAATGCCCTAAAAAAATATATACAAACCTTATAATAAAATCAAATACATTAAGGAAATTAACAATAATTAACATGGACATCAATAAACTAGATGTGTCACAATGCACTAAATTACAAACCCTTATATGTACAGACAATAACATGAATCAACTAATCACTAATAATGAATTAAGAGCATTAGATTGTGCAAACAATAAGATCATTGATTTAAATCTATCAAACACACTAATCCAATTAACATGTTCAAATAACAAATTAAAAAACCTAATATTAGGATACAGCCTGATAGAAGTACATTGTAACAACAATGAACTAAAAGAATTAAATTTAAATCCAAATTTGAGAACACTAAACTGCAGCAACAATCAATTAACAAATCTCAATTTAAATAGAAATCTGTCAACCCTATATTGCAAAAGAAATTCAATAACAAAAATTGAACTAAATATAAAACTAAACGAAATTCATTGTTCTAATAACTCATTAGAAACAATAATAATCAATGGTTTATTAACTAAATTATCATGTAAACACAATAAAATAAAAATCATAACACTAAATAACTCATTTCCAGACAAAAAAATCTTAATAAAAAAGATAAACAAGTATAATAATAGCACAACAAATAAATCTCAAGGAATTCACACCTACCCTAAACGAAGAAACAATATGTCCAATTTGTCTTGAATCTGAAGGACAATTAATAAAAACTGATTGCAATCACACGTTTCATATGAATTGTATTTCACTCATCAAAAATACCAAATGTCCTTGTTGCAGAAGACAAATAGAACAATTGAAGATCAAACATTACCAACTGGAATAAAACAGTTATTTAATAAAAACACACAAACTCATTAAACATAATATAATTTCAACAATAATCAACCAAAAGAAGAATAGAATCTACAAAAATAAAATTTAGTAAAATTATATATTAACAACTTTACTACCTTACTTGAAATAATGCTTGAACACATAAACGTCAAAGAATCCAAAATATCCAACATAATAAATTAAATAAACATAATTCAAATATACTAACAACACAAATAATAATTAATAAGACAATTAAAAAAAAAAAAACACATGCCAGAAATCAGAATTCAGACTAATCATTATAACCACAAAATATAATCAAAAGATACTGAAAAGGAAACACCATGTTGATAACTTCAATCAATTAATTAACACCGGATATAACATCAAATCATTATCAATATCAACTATACAAGTATAACAACATTAGAAAAGTAAATAAAAATAATAAAATGAATTTGTAGATAATAGAATTAATAACAACTATAAATACTAATACTAACACAAAGGGATATATAATATTAAGACACATTAGTACTTACATTAATCATAAAATAGACAATAAAATAAATTTGTAAATACTATAATTAAAGATAATTACAAAGTACAAATAAAAGGGTATATAATATTAAGACTTATTAGTATATTAACTACAAAATAAACAAAAATAAGATAAAAATAAGTACCTATAGATTAATTAATGATTAAACACTAAGAATTATTAGAAAAAAAAAAAAAAAACATAATTTATAACATTAACTGGGAATTTGTATATTAAAGGGATACTATTTAGCAAAACAATAATCTAAACATCAATCGAATTATTATAATTTTAAGTGTAAATTTACAAAAGGGGATAAAGAATAGGATTTATAAAAATACAAAAAACAAAAATATTCACCTCATAAGTAGTAATAACTATTACAAATTATCAATTATAATCAATAATTTAAGGAAAGTAAGACTTAATCACATACATGATTAAATAAGTACAATTTAATCAAAACAAGGGAAACACTATTAAATTAAAAAATTCTTTAAAGGGAACTTATATCAAATAACGGGATAACTACCTAAAAAAAAAAAAAAAAAAAAAAAAAAAAAAAAAACATATTCATCACCTATATAGTAGTTTATAAAAATAATCAATATAAAGTTATAAAATCATAACACAATATGGCTGGGTTTGGAACAACATTCTATACTTATAAATACAACGAAAATATGATCAACAAATACCTCGATCTAATTACAACGCAATCAACACTCAAAATACATGCCTTCAATGTTGATTTTATTGACAAATATCTAAATGATGGAATGCGTGAAACAAAGGTATGGACGAAAATTCCAGTATTAAATACCAAAATAATACTATTCCCAATACACATCAAAGAAGAATGGGCACTGATAGTTATATTTACAAAAATAAAAACTATCGCTTGTTATTATAACAAGAACCTCAATTATGAATTTGAAATGGCAGTCATAAAAAAATTCTTAATCAGCCGGCAAACAATTATCGGACATCATCCATCGAAATGGAAATCAATTTACTTCCACATTCCAAAACAATCAAGTTCGCACAATTCTGGACCATGGATATTACATTTAGCAAAATGTATATCATTCAACAATACCAACATCCAACACAATTACATGCCGGTAATCAGGAAAACACAATATAAAGAATTAATGATGGACCAAATCATAATCAACGCCGTTGAAGTATTCAAGACCCCTCCCACAGTAACCACCAATGACACGGTTCAATTAAAAAAAAAATGTGTCGACCACGCAAATCAATCATGGATTCAACGGACAATGGATTAGCCTCATCAACAACCAACATCACGGAGTCAAATAAGGCCACAGCAGTCTCGTCAGCAAGTCAACCAACAAACATCAACAATCAACGTCACGGATTCAACCAAGAGAGCAGCACATTCCAACCCATGCACCAAC